GCGGAGCAATCCCCAGATCAGAATCAACGTCACGCTACCCCGTGAATACGACTCAGCTCCACGGCATTAGCCCCGAGTCGTCGTATCTAATTCGCCTTGGCCATAGAGACTCGAAATGCTGTTCTCTAGCCCACCGCCTCTGGACTTTTGTAAAAGTACACTGCAGGTACATTGGAGCTTGCAGGGTCCAGTCGTCGCTAGAGCCCATTCCTTTCGACGACACACGTTAAAACACAGGAGAGTTCTTTCCACGAATTGGACTTTTGGAGAACGCACTTGGTTAGGTGCTTGATGATATTTTGCCCAAAAAAATTCGACAAGAGACAATCCCTTAAAGACAAACAATGGCGCTACTGATAGACCTGTTTTCCGTCCATATCACATTGCAGAGCATTATCCCTTATGGGCAAGTAAGCAATCATAGCGAAAGCGTGTAAACATCTAGCTACTTCCCTGCCAACTTACCGACTCTGCGAGCTGGTAAATTTGCCTGTGCGGAGCGGACTCTGTAATAGCTTATAATTATCCATTGTATTACCAAGACAACAAGCACAATGGAGTCTATCCCTGAGATCCTACTTAAATCCCAGACTCTCGCTTGGCCAAGTGCTCCATCTTCTGGATCAGAGACCAAACCCTTACCCAAGATGTCGACCAACGGAGAACGTCCCAAGGGCACCATCCTGATCACAGGCTTGAACGGATATCTGGCTGGTCGGACGGCCGAGCTGGTATTGCGAGAAGGATACCGAGTCCGGGGCACTGTCCGTGACAAATTAGCGGGCCAGAAAGTGAAGGTTGCCCTCTGTCGCCTGGGATATTCGGCAGACGATATCGACGTGGTGCAGATACCCGATATATGCCGGCCCAACTCTCTTGAGCTCGCCGCCGATGGTATGTATAGTATTAGGAACACGCGTCTTCTTCGAACAAAATGCTAACTGCCGGTTGTTTTAAGGATGTTGTGCGATTTTCCACCTTGCTTCGCCTCTAACCGAAATATGGACACTCCCCCCATCAGAGGTGGTTCGGATAGCAGTTGAGAGCACGGCGAGTGTTCTCAGGGCAGCTATAAAGGCCGGCCGCGCCATGAATAGTGTGGTACTCGTGTCGTCGGCAGCGGCCTTGTTCGACCTCCCAATAGAGAACAGGCTGTATACGGAGCGGGACTGGAATACTACATCCGAGCAGATTGTTGACCGAGATGGCGACAAAGCGGGCGGCTTCCATACGTACCTTGCTAGCAAGACAGCCGCGGAGAGATACTTCTGGAAATTCAGGGATGATTACCGGCCTTCATTTGGCATGACAGCGCTCCAGCCCACGTAAGAATTTTTCCAACAAAGTGACATCTTGGATCGTGCTAATTATTGGTTGCGTTGATTTAATAGATATTTCATTGGACAACCACTCATTCCATGGAAAACACCGGAGGATATCCCATATTCGAATAGCGACTTCTGGAAGGTCGTGTCAGGCGAGGAGGTGCCCGGTCCCATGATGGTCTACGGTGACACAGTCGACGTACGAGACGTGGCACGAATGTTATTGTGGTCAGCACAGCATCCGAAAAAGGCCGACGGCGAACGTTTCGTGTGCTCTTCGGCCGTGGGTGGTGGACAGGCTATTGCCGATATACTGAGAAAGAACATGCCCTTTCTTAAGATTCAGCAAGGACAGCGAGGGCATGGATACGCAATTGATTACAAGCCTAGGGCTGGTGTGCCTGGATTTGACTCTAAGAAAGCGGTCTTAATGACTGGTAGGGACTGGATCCCATATGAGCAAAGCGTCATAGACATTGCGCAGTTCCTGCAGCGGTATCTTCCATGATACTGCAATGACCTGGGAAGGGGTCTTGTTGGGCCATGTATCCATCTATATGCGTAGACTTTTCCGATTTTGTCGTTCGTGTTGTCCGTCGACATAGCACCTCAGATAATGGAATACTGCGTTCTTTTACCCTTATCCAATTGTCTGACCTTGTGTCACTATATGCCTGAGTAATTGAGTAGAATTTGGGTTAGTTGTTGTCGAGTATTCTTCGAACCTCTTCGCAATCCTTAGGTAAGTAATCGCTGTGCGTTAAATAGGTGCACAGAGCATTATCGCTATATATCGAGTCTTTCAGGACTTTCGGGACTGCACGGCTCAAGTATGACACATACCCTTAAAGAGCGGAAGAACAGATCGTAGGCCGTATTTTAGAAAGTTGCGTTGATTCAGCCGGCGCAGCTTCTGCTAAATTCCATCATGGGATGATCTTCCTCCGGGTCTACCTCAACTTGTAAAGGCATCAGAGTCATTGTTATCTAGTGACGTGATATGCCAACTATCTACTCTTAGGTGCTCAACAATATCCTAAACGTAGGGAATTGGTGTAACATTCGTACACTAGCAAGGACAATTCGTTATCGCCAGGGTTGGCCTATATTAACTCAAATATGACTGCCAGCTCAAGTGGTTGCTAAAAGGATCTACTCCTTAGCTGCACTGCATCTCGACAAAGAACCCCCATGGTTCACCCTGCACTGCTTCCGCTTTGAGAATAAACACTGGAACAAGAAAGACGGAAGCCATTAAGTTAGTAGTATTTGGTTCGATTAGTATTTCCTAACCTAGGTAGGTCTTTATAGTTGTGCAAAGTGGCAAGACGATGAAAGAAATAATCATCAGACCCGCCACCTACCGCCCCCAGGAAGTCCGACAACTGTTTCTTTCATCGCCTTAAGTGGTACGAATGCGGGCATAATCCTTCTATGCGACTTCGTCTAAGACCATGGGAAGATCCGCGGCCCACAGCATCCGTTAGCGTTAGTCCTTTTGAAAGCCGAGAAAAGCTCAGGCCACTTTCTGCGGGATGCGTATAATTTACTTTTTGGTGACAAGGATTAATATACGCCGCCGTTGGTGATAGCCGATCTCATACCCCTCCCAAGTTACGGCGTTTAAGGAGTTAAGACGGGGGAGGAGCTTGAGGGATTTTGGTAGCCAATTCAATTCATTGATTAGATAAGTTTTTTGGTGGTATTGATTGGAGCGGCCGTAAAACGCATGATGACAAATTCAGATTCGCATCACATTAGCCGTGAAGATAACAAACAGCGTAACAGTAATATCCTGGTATCAACCTCGTTGTCGCGTATTCGATGAGAAACAGAAACTTCCCCCATATCCCCAAATTGCATTCATTGAGCGGCCATCATCAGCTCCCTCCTCATTCTCGTGATTGTGACTCCCCTCCAGACAAATAACGTCCCATAGTAGTCACGTAATAGTGTGTTTAAGCGTGCGTGAGGAAATAAGTTCCAGCAAGAGACTCGCCAAGCCCTAGCTTCTTCTCGGCATCCGCCTCGTTCCACCACAGCCTAGACGTCAACTTGACCTCCTCGGCCAGTTTAAGGGAGCTCTTGATCTTCGCAGCATTTAGCTCCTTAGGCTGCTCGAACAGCATGAAAACATAGCGGTGCGCCGAGCTGGGCTTGGGAGGTCCTGGGGGCAGCCACGGGACTACCCAGTCCGAACCCCCCTCGAGCGGCGCAAAGCCGTCCTCGCCGGGGGCGCCAGCCACGAGGTCGAAGTGCAAGCCGTGCAAGATAGGGCCTAGGAAGGACCACGAAGGGAAGGGCGCATCCAGATCGACGGAGACGAGAACATATTTGGTGCCGGGCTCCGACTTCAGTGCGCTCGCGGCGATGGACAGGGTCGGCGTCGGTGTGGCCTGCGAGATGGTGAGGTTCTCGCCGGCCTTTGAGAGTGTGACATCGGGGAAGTGTAAGCGGAGTTTGGCGTCAGCGCCTAGTGCTTTTTGCACGCTTGGGGGTGGCGGTGCCATTGTGTGTAGATGTAGAAACCGAAAATCCAAAAACCAAAGCTGTTCCTTGTTGTAAAATAAGGAAAAATAATCAGAAGAGATGGTTGGGTATCTTTCGCTCGCTATCAGTAGATATATTTCTTTATCTACTTGACCTAACTGCTGTCACTATTAGCTACCTAGGTACCCTAAGCTACTGCAGGCACTGCGGCTTTATACCCGAAGAAGGGGAGCTAACTGCAATATACCTCCCCCGGTCAGTACCCGGCTCGTCTCCGTGGGCAAATTCGATACTACCTTCCCCCCAACTCTAGTCGTGGTACCGACCACATACAGTAATCTGCTATGCACTCGGAGTGTGACGAACGGCCCCTGTTCCCATTTTGTATTTTGTCGCTTGTCCAACACTCGACAGTACATCCCTCATCTCATGGCATATGATCTTGTGTTGCGCTCAGTCAGCCACACTCGTAGCCTCACCGGCAATCTCTATTTTCCATTATCTAGAGAGTCTCTATATATATTGGCTAAATTAACAACATTTCGTCGAAGCCTGAGTGTTGTTTCGGGGATCGGCGGTGGGCCCGAAATTCGCCTTGTTAGGCGGTATGGTGTTCTTGCCAAGCAATAAGTATAAACGAACCGGCAAACGGTCAATTGGGTGCATAGAATAGCACAGCCGTGCCACTACCATTACGGCTTCCAAGACTATCGAGCTGAACCGCACTTATGGTTGATCGTGTGTTGAATGGACAAACGCCTTCGGGCAGTTGTATATGAAATTAGAATATTAAGAAACAAAGCAGCCGCGGGTACACAACCACTTTAATAGTTCGTGTACAATTCGTGTAAGAAGAGTTAGCGGTAAGCCCTCGGAGCCGAATCGGCCGATCAATTATTACTATGCCCAGTGTACCTATGCAGTAACAGAGATGTCCGACACGGAAGCGAGCAGCCCGGCTCTCGGCCGCCGAGATACTCACCATGCCTCGTTATCAAACGGGGTCTTTATACAGCAATATTAGATCATGCCTCTCTCCCCACGCCAGACATTGATCTTAATCACCCGATACTGCTGCGGGATAATAAGATGACATGATAATAATATGAGATTATTGATTATTTTCTCTTTTGCCTATACATACAGATGTAAGCTAGGGAAATAACCATGATTCGTGGAAGTCGCGCCCTGGTAGCTCAATTGGTTAGAGCGTCGGACTTTTATCTGCCTTGCGGCAGGAGCGATCCGAAGGCTGCGGGTTCGACCCCCGCCTGGGGCGATTGCCTTTGTATGTTATGAATGAATGACATTGATCATTTTCATTTTTGACTTTTGCTTCGTATCTTTTCAGGTGAAAACTCCTACCAAGAAGAGGAGGTGGGCTACGATTTGTGTACCAATGGCCTCATGATACGAATGATTTAATAACAGTGCCATCTCAACACAACATTGGGAACAGCTGAGGGGAAACAAATGAAGTTTGAAATTCCTCAGCAATGCGCAGTGATAGTCGTACATCGATCGGCGTCACGCCTTGATTTTTTCTTTTATTATATCATGATCGTGTATTTTTATCAATAGTACGTACATACACCGTCTTATAGTTGCAAGGCGCTTACAGCTACGGAGACACGAGAGAATAGGGGCCTAAGAAGGCCAACGATGCTATGGTATACAAGCGTATATATTTCTGTCCTCGATACCAATCATCATCCATCGAGATCTCTAAGCGGAGATTTAACTTAGCATCAAGGAACTTGTAGTTGAAGGGCGTAGCCATACGCTATGACTCATCCTAGCCGTCGTTTCGATCCGGAGTGGGGAAACGCCATCCGATTGTATGCCGGGTCCGGGTCTCCGAGATTCAGCCCTGAGCTTACTCGAAGGGTTTACCTCACATTCTATCCCAACCGGCCCATTAGTAGTTACCTCTGCACTCTGAGAATTGGGAGAGAGCGGGGTGGAACTAATACCAAATAAGCAGGTATATGCATAGCCAAAGCCACGGTCCACTTGATCTCTGTAGATTTTATAGGAGCTATGAGAAGAAAGCACCTATCATCACATGACTACGCGTCGACTGAGATGGGACAGTCATTCTCGTAGCAGTGATGATTCACGTTCAGTTGCGGAGAGCAACCACTAAATTAGCGGTACCGGGCAGTTAGTGTCTACGCGCGTAGTACATAAGGCTATGTACCCGCGTCTGAGTTGGGGTTGTTGACGCCGCGATACTGTATCCTCTCTTAGTTCTGTGTCATTCACTACTATTTTCGCTTCCTTAAGTTGATAACCATCCGCAGCACCGCCGCCATGTTGTCTGCAAGAGGAGCACGCTGGGCAAAGATGGACTACGCTCACGGCGTACAAAATCGCTACGACCCGGTGAAGTATCCCCAAGGCGTGGTGATGTTCGACAATGCAGAAAATGTACAGTGACAAAACTCAGAAGAAGGGGAGAATTGAAGCTCTGGCTATAGGTGTTGATGGTTATTTAGGTGCTCATGCAGCCAGAGGTGACGGAATTCATCAATGGACTCGTAAGTTTGACGATGTCCTAGTCGGTGACTATGGGCTATTCATCCATCTCCAATAGCTAACGTAAACACTAATACGAAAGAGCTTCGATCCGTCAAACTGCAGGTATGGCGAGGGCTACACAGGCACTCTGCGACTTCGGAAGGCTATGGCGAACCATCTCAACGAGCACTTTGCGCCAGCACATGCCGTCGACGCTGAGCAGATCACCTTTGCTGCTGGAGTGACTAATCTCAATGAAGCCTGTGCGCTGGTGACCTGTAACCCAAATGCTAATGAAGCCATCATGCTTGGCACTCCGATATATGGCCAATTCTCTCTCGATATGTGCCTGAGGACTGGGTAAGAAGCACGCTCGTCGGATCATTTAACTCATTCTAGAAATCTGACCTCTTTACTACAGCGTGGAGCTGGAGTTCGTCTCGGTAGGCGACACAGACCAATTCACGCCGGCATGCGTAGCTGCATTCGAGGCTGGATACGAAGCAGCAAAAGCACGCGGCAGGAACATCAGGGCCCTGATCATATGTAACCCTCACAATCCTCTCGGTGAGTCAGCATATACCCCCTATACCCCCTATCGACTGAAACATCGGTGTTCCTGACGCTCGAGCCAGGTCATTGTTATCCTCGCGAAACACTCATCGGCCTTCTGCAGCTCTGTGCTCGAAAGGGCATCCATCTGATAGGCGACGAGATCTACGCGCTCTCCGTGTACGACAGAACCGATCGAAAGCCCGAGGTGTTCACTTCCGTGCTCTCTATCGACTTCTCAGGAATCATTGACCCAAAGCAGGTCCATGTTCTCTACGGGATGTCAAAGGTCCGTCATATCCCTCTTCCCACATCCCCCCGCTCTCACCGAAATCCCTATTGGCCGTCTGCATCTTAACAAGCTAAATTGATACAGGACTTCAGCATACCCGGGATGCGCCTAGGATGCGTGATATCACAGAACTCCGAGTTTAACAACGCCGTGCGCGCCATCTGTCGGTTTGCGTCGCCGTCTCAATACTCGATGCACATTGCCGCCAGCTTCCTTGAAGATCAGGCCTATGTTCGATCGTATCTTGAAAAGGCGCGGGCCCGTCTGTTGCAGAACCGGCTGCTGGCAGAGTCGCTTCTTTCTGCGGCTTCCATTGATTTCTACAACAATGGGTATGTGTGTCTTTATTTTCTTAGACTCTGTCTCTCTTGTTTCGTTGTACACATTAGGTCAAGATTGGCGGCCGCCGCCTGTTTCTCAGGGCTGGATCTAGCTAAATATTAATCAATGTGATAGGAACGCCGGCTTGTTTCTCTGGTTAGATCTGAGCTCCGCGCTTCCCCTCAAGGAAGCGAACGGTGATGGTTGGTTGGCAGAGAAAATGCTATCAGAGCGGCTAGCCAAAGCCGGCGTGACGATGTCAACCGGCAAGGCGTACCGAGCTCCTTTGCCAGGCAGGTTTCGTCTCTTGTTCTCGTTCGACGAAGATAGTGTGAGACAGGGAATCCAGAGGTGAGTAGGCTAGCTCGAATACGGCTGCTGTGCGTCAGTGTATCGCTAACGACCAATTCGTAGGATAAGTCATGCAATTCGGGGCGAATCTGCTTGATACATATGCTATTACCACACGCAGAGATAATGGGATACTTCAGTTCAGAATAGCAGTGAAAGTTGCAAATAAAGGTTAAAGGTTGCCTCGTAACCAGCTTAGCCCCAAAAGATTGCAAGAGATAATCTCCTATTTCACATCAGGTGTCGGAAAATCGTAATCGAGATGAGACACCGAGTATACTAGACTTAACTTTTATGAAAGCATATACAGGCTTCCATAAACGTTCGGTAGAGCTATAGAAAAACGCAAGTCTATGGCGTCTAAAAAGCCAGCAATCAAAAAGCAACCCTGCTGCGTCTTTCCTCCCATACCATTGGTCTGATCGTAGGAATGTTGAAACTCGGCAAAGTCACATCGACAGTCGAGATTCCGAGTGGGAGTTGCTTCTAAAAGAGAACTTCCAGAATCTCGACTGAACGTAGATAGTTGCCGAACCAGAGGATTGGCAAGATCGCTATTTTGGCATTGAATATACATACGATACGCTGGACGTATTATTTGGACAACATGATAAGTAGGTGGACCAACAGGCAGGGCTCTTCCGTCTTCATCTATAAAGAAACATCAACACAATAGGGTATCCATAACAAATATTCATCGGTTCTAACACACCGGTCTTCAGGGGTATCCAACTGATCCAAGCCCACGTTTGTGAAATCATAACGCGCCGCCCCCCTCCGAAATCCAAACCCGAATCAAAGTGTATCTTTCGATCATAAGGGGTATCGAGGCGCTCAATAGTCCTGCTAGCTCGGCTATAATAGAGGCAATATATGATAGAGGCCTATCACAGCTGCCACAACTGGCAACTCAAACAATCTCGGTACAGACTTTCCAGCGCCCGAATCTTCGGAATCACCGCCCCCACTGACAACTTGTCCAGATGAAGCAAGTACTTTTTCACCCGACGGATATCGGATATTATAAACAGGGTCTGTTGTCAGGGCGACGGGGTCGCCCAAAGTATGGGAGCATGTCGGTTGATTGGCATTAGGCCAATCCAGAGTACATTTCTCGTCATGGCCCCAGGAACAAATTGCATCCTGAATATTGTATAAAACGTAATTTTTGGCGACCCAGCTATCGGGCTGCTCAAGACAGCTCGCCAGAAAGTTGATACTATTTGACGCGCTGAGAGGCAACTTATGGCCGTCTGTATGAATGAGGCCAGAGCAGTCCGAAGGGTCTTTATATTCGAAGTTCATCGCGATAGCGCCACCCGACGTAGGTTTCTTAGTTGCCGAGTATCCCGTCACGAGATAGTTCCAGGCATCGTAACTGACATCGTGCGCTCCCTGCGATGAGTCGACGCGAAGCAGCTTGACAGAGCGGCCGCCATAGCTCAATGACACGCAGATATTATTGCAATCTACGGAGCCAGGCCAGTAGGCGATGCGATCGGTGTCCACCTTGCAACCAAGGACACCGACAGAAGAGGAATAGCTGTCGTGAGGCGTCGCCCACACAGCCCCGCTGGTACCATCTCGAGCGACGACTTCAGTGAGAGGAGTTGCCAATGCTGGCGAAGCTGTCAAAAATGACAGAAGGATATAATGAGTGTCGGGGCGCATGATTCAATTGATTCAACGAGTGGCTGAGATAGCTGATGCGGCTTCTCTCGAATACTGTCAAAGCGGTCTCAAATGAGGGACGATAGCTGAAATGACTGAGGGTGGCATGTCGTGCGCCGAAAGCAGTAATACGGTCGCTGAGATTGTGAGCTAGCTGGCTCTTGAATGAGTCTGCGACTCGACCGACGAACAAGTCGCGGTGCTTGTTCTAATCGCCTGTGACTTCGGGTCGAATTGAATCGAATTGGCATCAAGAGAATGGAAGAGGGAAAAAGGCGCGCCGCGACCTGCATGCGACTGGCCTATCGTGGCCAGGCGTGATTTGACTGACCATGGGCAAAATTAAATGAGCATGTCCATTTTAGGCTTAGTGGATAGACCCTGAATCTTGGGGAAAGCCTAAAAGGTGGGGGAAGCAAGCACTGATTGGGGGTCATACAGCTAAGACCAGAAATTGACAAGGTCGGTAACTGCCAAGTGAATACCTCAATTTTGGAAGGAAGTCGTCACCTGATATGATGCTGTTTTGTTGCGAGATTCTGGTTAACGCTTTCTTGATCCTAACATTCTAA